CCTGCCTAGGCAGGGATTGGACTAGAAGACCTCCAAGGTCCCTTCCAACTCTGCTCTTTTATTGTATGACTGGCTTGATGTTTCCAGAAGAGTTTCACTCACTCTAATAAGGTTTGCAAAGCACCTTCTTCTTTGCTTTTCAATGCTTCGCTCAGCTGTTTTTTTAATGCAAACTCTGGGTCAGGGCTGTCAAACTCCCGACCCGTGGGCCAGATGCGCCACACGCTGGCCACACTCATGCCTGTTTTAGTGAAAGGGAAAAATGTCCAGATACATCACATGATGTGACCGTGACAATGTGAGTTTGACACCCTTGCTCTAGGTCAATTTTGCATAGGAGCCACATATCACACTCACATATAAATGGAAAAAATAGTAAAGTGATTACTACACTTGTAAATGAAATATAATAGTACTGATTTTATTATTCAAATCAAGTGTTGTAAATATTATCTAAAATATTACATACTCAAGGTATGTCTTATCAATGGATTGCTTTGATCAATTTGTCTATTCCGGCAATGTTCACCCACTTTGGATCCATTTTGTTGTGTGATTTAAATATAAAACAAAAACATTGTTTTCCATTATGTGACAGAATTGTAATGAACCTTGGATCTAGCCACTACCCATTTCTGATCTTTGCATGCTAAAGAAAAAGATCCACTAGCATTTTATGTCTTTTCTGTAAAATGTTCTACCTTGGAAACTGATCAGTGGGAATAAGGCAGAATTTGAACTAATGCTTTATTCTCCAGTCTCTCAGTTTAGCTTTGAATGAATGAAAAATATTGTGCCAGTCATAGAAAGCTTTCGATCTGCTAGAGCAGTGGTTCTTTTTCTTCACTATGGACCCCCTTTAAATACCTTTTGTGGCCAGACTTAACTAAAAGATTAAATCATCTTCAAGCCTTCAGAGACCCTCTGTGATGACATCCCAGACCCCAGGGGTCCACAGACCACAGGTTGAGAACCACTATACTAGAGGATCCTGTTAGTAGAAATGGACAGAGGAAATCTTTACTGATTCTTCCTGCAATTACCTGTGCTGTTCTAGATAGTCCCCATCAGTTCTCCAGAACTCATCTCCATAAGTTGCAACAGTTGAAGGGAGCAAATTTTTCCTTTTGTATCTATCCCAGTGGGATATTGCCAGTCTCAAAAAACAAAACTTCCAGTTTATTCAAGAATTTCCAAAGGTGGAACTGTTACAGGTAGTCCTCAACGTATGACCACAATTGAACCCAACACTTAGGTTGTTAAGTGAGACATTTGTTAAGTGAGTTTTGCCCTTTCATTTTACAACCTTTCTTGCTACAGTTGTAAATCACTGCAGCTTACAAATTAGTAACCGGTTATTAAGGGAATCTGGCTTCACCACTGATTTTGCTTGTCTGAAGCTCGCAAAAGGTAGCACATGACCTTGGGACACAGCAATAGTCATAAATATGAGTGAGATACCAAGCATCTGAATTTTGATCACATGATCATGGGGATGCTACAAAGGTCGTAACTGTGAAAAATAATCACTAGTCACATTTTCCAGTGACATTGCAACTTTGAACGGTCACTAATGAACTGTTGTAAGTCGAGACTACTTATATAGCAAACTACTTTCTAAGTATTGAATTATTTTCTAATTCAATTTTAACAATATTTTTATCTCATCTAGGGCTTTGTCTTGAAAAACGTGTATTCTATAAACTTATTTCAGGACTTCATGCAAGCATCAACTTACATCTTTGTGCAAACTATTTACTTGAAGGTAAATTGCCCCTTCTCTTTTTATTATTGTGGGAAGTTAATTTTTCCACTATTCCCATAAAAATAATTTCAATATTTACTTTAAAGCATTGTTTTTCTTTGTTCAGAAACATGGGGAAGACCTCGTTGGGGACCTAATGTCAAAGAATTCGCCCATCGTTTTGACCGTACTGAAACAAAAAGTGAAGGACCAAGACGACTAAAAAATTTATATTTCCTATATTTGGTGGAACTGCGTGCATTGTCAAAGGTTGCATCATACTTTGAGCGTTCAATTGTGGATCTTTATACTGGAAATTCACAGGAGGATACAGAAACTAAGTCTCTCTTGTTAGAAATCTTCCAAGATACAAAGTAGGTGTGCTTTTCTTCTCCACCTTTAGTATGTATTCAGATACAGACAACTGAATAAAGTTGATTTCAGAAGATGTTTAGGGAATTTCAGGAAAATGAAGGTATTAAAACAGACCTAAAAATAAGGTGGAATTCACATATAAGATTAAACGATTGTTTAACCATAATTTATTATAAATAAATTTATAATAAATAACTAAGTCATCAGGATTATGACAGATACTGAAAGAAATTCAGGTGGCCAAAAAGGGCCAAATGAAACATTATGCTGAAATCACACATGTGGTTAACACATACAGGAAACAGGTTGCTGATAAACTAACTTGTGATATTCTTAGCCAATATATAAGAATATTCATTATTTTATCCTTTGACATTTTTGATTCTTCCTTTGAATTAGTTAACCCCAAAGATGGAGTGTTTTGATTAGAAAGGTCAAATTATTGAGAAAGGTGCCATGTCAAGTGAATTCAGTGAACTAGTAATCTGTTATACTATATTGTTTTTGTGTACAACTGCTGCATCTTAGAATGCTGAGTCCTCTGTGTTACAGGATGTTGGGGTCAGAGAGAAAAATAGCTCAGTGGAAAAAGTTAGAAAGTCTGGGTGAATTTCAATAGGAGCCATGATGGCGCAGTGGTTAGAATGCAGTATTGCAAGCTAACTGTGCCCACAATCAGGAGTTCGATCCTGACTAGATCAAGATTGACTCAACCTTCCATCTTTCCAAGGTTGGTAAAATTAGGACCCAGATTGTTGGAAGGCAATATACTGAAATTTGTAAACCACTCAGAATACTGTAAAGCACTTTGGAGCGGTATATAAGTCAGGGATGTCAAACTCAAGGCCTGTGGGCTGGATTCAGCCCACAGGGTGCTTAAATCTGGCCCCGGGGGGCTGACCTGGAAATATCAAAGGACTAGTGCCTTTGCTGGCTAAAACAGGCCACGGGGAGTGCATGTGGTTTTTGGCCTCCCAGGCCTCCAGCACACTGCCGGCCAAAAACCGGCCACATGAGGCCGTGCAGGGCCTTTGCATGGCCTGTTTTCGGCCAACAGAGTGCTGCAGGAGGACAGGATTGGACTGGATTACAATTATGTGGCCTCAAGTAAATCCTTAATCTGGATAGAAAACAAGCAACATCCTATGTTAATACTAATGCCAGATTTTACATATTGTAGGTCCATTTAATCTACAAGCAATAATCTATAATTGACAGCCATTTCTATTTACTATCCTGGAAATTTACCTCAACTGTTAGAACTTGTATTATCATTTTATTTATGCTATTGTATTTTTATTATTAGTTGAATAATAAAAATACAATAGTATAAATAGCTTTTCTGCCTGGAAAAGCAATTTACTATTAAATAACAGGGTATACATTTAGAAATAAAAAGTCTAGTGGAGTATGAAGAACAAGTAAATGTTTGCCAGTAATATCTGTTAGAAGAGATAGGAAAATGGTTATAGTAAAGAAGTGTGGAAAGAAAGAAGGGAAAAATGCATCTTGAGCCTGGGTCAAACTGCCACCATGGCCATGCCCACCCCAGACATGCCCACCATGCCCACTCCCACCCCCAGCTACACACAGACACATGGCCCTCCAAGTCAAACACAAGCCTGATGCGGCTCACGATGAAATCTAGTTTGATACTCCTATCTAAAATCCTATAACGAAGTGATATTGCTATTCAATAAAAGGCATGGGAAATGGCCTTGAAGAGCAGAAGGAAGAGCAACTACCAAGGAAATGATTAGAGCAAGAGGGATTTGAACTTGGACCAAGAAAATAACTTGAGAAACCCTCTCAAACAAGCACATCCCTAATTTACACAAAGATAAAGGAAAGGAGGACAAATTACAATCAGACTTGCAAGATTCTGTTACTGTAGTTGTTACAAGAAAACTGGGGTGTCAAACTCTATTTCATTGAGGGCCGCATCAGGGTTGTGTTTGACCTCAGAGGCCCTGGGGGTGGACGTTGCCAGCTCGATGTTACTTGTGGTGCCTGTGGTGGCCTGTGCGCTCTGCCAGCAAAAACTGGCTCCTGAGCTCTATTTTTGGCTGTGACAGCCTTCTACAACTCTCCGTGAACCAAGACAGAATTCAGGAGGACTGCCCGTGGCCCTCACATGCTCCATTTTCGGCTGCAATGGCCTCCTGGAACCTTCTGCCAGCGAAAACAGAGCTCAGGAGGGTGCTTGCAGGCTGGTCCTTCACTGTTTCCAGGGCATCCCCACGGGCCAGATTTAAGCCGGGCTGGATCTAGCCCCTATTCCTTGAGTTTGACAACCCTGCAATAATAGCAATCCTAGCCTCTATAGCAGGGATTTCATTGAGGGCCGCATCAATAGCAGTAGACTTATATACCGCTTCATAGGGCTTTCAGCCCTCTCTAAGCGGTTTACAGAGAGTCAGCATATTGCCCCCAACAATCT